TCTATCACCACCCTGCCCCCAGCTGCTGACCTTGGACTAAAGGAGAGGCGACGCTTAGTGTCTGGTTGGTTGGCCAATGACCCAGTAGGGCACTCCAGGAACAGGCACTCCCCCTCTGCATCTTCAAGTTACAAAGAACCATAATAAGGTCATTTTTCGTTCCTGATTGACAGGCCTAGAAACCCGGTTCAAAGGCCAATTGGGCTTTTGAACTCCATGGGGACAGCCCAAGGACTCTGCTGAAATAGAATATATTCATTTTTTTAAAAAAGATTCTATTTACCTGAGAAAGAGAGAGTGAAAGAGAGCATGAGTGGAGGGGAGGGGCAGTGGGAGAAGCAGACTCTATGCAGAGCAGGGAGCCTAATGCAGGATTCGATCCCAGGACCTTGGGATCATGACCTGAGCCCGAGGCAAAAGTCTAACTGATTAAGCCACCTAGGTCTCCAAATCTATTTCATTTTAAATCAATACCTTGCCAGATATGACAGTCCTAATCCAGAAGAACATGTACAAAGCCCTGACATCTGGACTTCCAAGGTGAATAGCACGGGAAGGGGCTCGAAGGTCAAGGGACCTGGACAACTCACACAAATTCACAACCACCTTTCAAAACGGTGCTATTTCCACACATCCACCACATATTTCCTGAGCACATATGATGTATCAGCACGGCTCTGGGGGAGGCAGAGATGCAGGAGACAAAGACAGCCACTGTGAGGTTTCCAAGGGGAGGCAGGCATGCAAAGATCAGGGTGGTTAGGTAACCTGCCCAGTCCTGGTGTTAATAAGGGATTTGAATCCAGATTAATCATATTCCACTTTGCATCTGCTACTAGGAAGCAGATATCCTGCTCTGAGCTACCAAGTGTTGTGTTTGTTTTGTGGCGGATGGGGGGGGGTGGTGGCAGCGGGGAGATGGGAATGGGCTGTGAAGAAGGTACTGCCCTGAGGCGGTGTTTGAGAGGGGCTGTGGAACCTGCTGGACCACAGCACTAGGACAAAATAAAGACAAATATTTAGCTTGGAATCGGGACTTACATCCAAGGTCAAACTCACTGACCCAGGGCCAGTCACTAAACCTCTCTGAGCTTCAGTTTGAGTTTCTCTAAAAAGAGGGGGTGAGCCTTGCAAGGGATGGCAAATGCCTTCATCTCATCCAGCAACTCAAGCCTATTCACAGAGCCTGCCCAGGGCACTAGGGGTAAGGAGCATTCTGAGGCCACATCTGGGCTAAGCAGAAAGGGCCAGCAAGGGAGGTCTGCCAGGAGCCTGGAAGGGCGATTAATCTGGGTGATCCTCTGAGGACTTCCGCTGCTGCTGCTGTGAGGTAGCTGAGGGGCTGTCATTTTATTTTGGTGACTGAATATTTAAAACTCTCTTTCACTACTTTCTAACCAACTCACAGAACCTTTCTTCAATAAGCATATTTCCTAATATAAGACTGGAGATACTGCTGTGTTTAATGTTTCCCTTTAAACCATTCTGTAACTGTGGCATAGTCAGGAGAACCTAGAAGCAGCTGTGGCAGTTGAGACTGCCTCACCGGACAGGAGTCCACCCATCACCACGGGGACGGAAGATGCCCCCCCCCCCCAACACACCATGCTGCAGTGTGGCTCTGCCTCTACCAAACCAAGCAGGGAAGTCTCCTTCCCCTTGAATCCTGGCTACACAGCCCCATGGCTTCGTGGACCAATTGGGTGTGAAGTGCTATTCTGAGCCTTCCGGGGCTTCCTTTTCATACAGCATCCCTAGTCTTACTTCATTAGGATCTATCTTCTCACATATCTAAGCAATTAGAGGTATATTCCCCCCTTTTCTTCTAGCAGGGTTGTGCTCCTTGCATTGTCTCTGTCTCCTTAGAGTCCCTTTTTTGTCTGTTTTGGTCACCATCCATCATTTTGGAGCCTTCACTCGGGTCTCTGATGACCCTCTGCTGTTGGTTAATACCTAGGGCTGAGACTTCAGCCTATCACTCACAGCCTGAAGAGTCTTGACTAACCACCAGTGGTCAGAGTCTACACTAGGACAGCATCAGGGAGGCTGGCTGAATTCAGACACAGACGAGACAGAACACAAAAATGAGCTGAGTTCAGGGGGTGGGGTATGCTTGGAAAGCAGCCTGTCCAGGGGTGTGGCTGGAGCATGGGGCACTGGTAACACCTACCAGCGGTGGGACACACAGGGCAAGCTTCACAGGAGTGACATTCCGTGTCACCCCGAGGTGTGCAGGTTGGGCCAACTGGGAATGAGGGGTGTGGAGGGAAGGAAGTGGCATGGCAGTGAAGAGGCCCTACATGCGTCTAGATGCTGACGATGACACCCTGGGCTTGAAGTGGATGTGGTGACTGAGGAGACAGTTGGGGCTCTCGGAAGGGGGTGGACAGAGCTGGTCCATGGGGAGGGCTGGGGACGGCATGAACTGTCAGCGGCAGACTGCCATGTGGTGAAGCATCTGCCGAGATGGCGGCTGACGACTGCTCTGGCTCCGCGTCCCCACACTTCTCCTCAGAACACGGAGCTTACTTTGCACAAACGGTCGTCACAGCCGCCACTTCCTAGTCCTAACAGCCAAGCGCAGTGTCCGTCAACTAATGAATGGATAAAGAAAACGTGGTGTATCCTTAAAATGGAATATTATCTGGCGACACAAAGAAATGGAGGACTGACAGATGTTTACAACACAGATGAACCTTGAACACATTATACTAAGTGGAAGAAGCTCGTCTTAAAAGGCCCACATAAGGGCTGTGGCATCTAGTGGCGAGCACTGCGTGTTGTAGGATTCCATGTATAAGAAATGTCCAGAACAAGCAGATCTACAGAGATAAAACAGTTTAATGGAGGGGGAGGGTTAAGGAAATGGGAGCTACCGCTAAAGGATATGGGTATCTTTTGGGGTGATGAAATGTTGTGGAATTACAGTGATGATGCTCGTACAACTCTGACTATACTAAGAACTACTGGATCGTACACATGACACAGGTTAAGTATATGGTATGTGAATCATCTCTTTAAAAAGTTGTTACTAAAAAAGGTGGGGGGTGTCAATGACGTCTAGTTCCCCTCCCATTGAATCCAGCTGCCCTTATGACTTGCTTTGAACGAGAATATGGGTAAGCCATGCTGGGCCAGTTCTGGGTCTACCCAGGAAATGGCTGGCAAACTTTCACTCTCACCCTCTTGGAAATGAACTGCCATGTAGATACACCAGGCTAGATCACAAACAACAGGTAGAGAGAGGCCGCATGGTGGTAAACCAGGACCCCACTCATGTGAACGAGAACATCTTGGGTCATGCCAGCCCCAGCCAAGCTGAATTAAACCAAGCCGAATTAAGTGACCGCAGGAGAGATCCCATAAAACCAACTCAGAGAGTCAGGAGAATAAATCATTATTGTTTTAAGCCACGGAGTTTTGGGGTGCTATGCTATAGGATGGATAACTGACATACCACCTCTCCAAGCCCCGGATTCCACCTCTGTGACATAGGATTAAAGCTACAGGGCTCTTGGGAAGGTCACATGAGGCTAACAGCAGGCACCAGCCTCAAGAAATACTAGTTGCTATAGTTATTATTAGTAACTATCATCCTAGGAGCCCCTTGACATACTGCAAGTATACTCCCGGGGAGGCCCCATTGTCATAAGCACCTGGTACCTCCAATCCCAGGGTTTCCAAAAAACTGGTTTCCCAAGAAAAACAAAGCAATTTTTTCCTACAATTTCTGTAGTACAAAAAAATTAACTTGGAACCATAAACAGCCCAGGGTTCTGCTTAGATCAGCCATCCACCCAGGTACCTATCCATTCAACACACCTTTATTAAGTCCTTACTGATTACCAGACACTGATGAACAGCAGCTCAGAAGACTTTCCCCCCCCGAAACAGCAACAGTTACCAGATAGGGGGCTGCTAACAGAATGGACTACACACTTGCACTTCAGCTAGAGATGGACCTGAAGTCATAGATAAAATCTAAACTCACCCGGAGAAAAAGGTGATAGGTACATATTCCGACCCAAACCCTCAGGATTCCCATCGGGAATCTGCCCTTTTAGCAGGGTGATCTGGAGCACATCATTAGTCCCCTCTGTGACTTCATGACTTCCCATAAAATGGGAATAACCTCACAGGAATGTTGCAAGGATTAAATGTTAATGTAAACAAAGCTCTCAGGAGTCCACTCGGCACACAACAAGCACTCGGGAAGAATTAGCATTTTTAAAAACTTGAAGGCACAGTAACACAGCAATTGTTCTGCAAACCAAAAGGTCATAGAACAGTCCTAAAAGTCACCCAGACACCCAGCACAGTGCTTCTCAAGACATTTCCTTTCTACTGATACTTTTTGCAAAATACCAATCACCTGCCCTAATGTCGCAGCCATGTCCAGTTGCTCTCAAAGTTCTTCACTGGTTGCTCACACTCTCTACTTCTCAGAGCCGTCCCCAGACTGGCACTTGTCTGCACAGGCAACTTTGAGTAGCACTGTTCTAGGACACAGGGACAACTCACAGGCCTGCTGAAAACTCAGCTCACAGGTTCAAGAGAATTACAAAAACACGGAAGTAAAGAAAATCAGCCCAACAGCTGGGGCAAGAGGATGACTTGCGGGTCAACAGAGAGAGAAAATAACCTCGACCGGCCAAATCTAAAAAAACCAAAACCGGCTGCCAGAGCAAGGACCCACCTGGTACCTTCCCCACCAGTACTCCAGAAGGTCCCTTCGTGAAACACGTCGACCAGGAAGTCATCAGCCCCAGAGCGATAAGAGACATAGAGAAAGTAGGCAGAACTGACTCAGGCCTCCCAAGAAAGAAGTCCTTCTCAAGAATTAGAAACCACCCTAAGCAGTCACCAAGCTTTGAGAACATCAACCATGGCACACAAAGGCCTGAGTGCCTTCTCTACAAAGAAAACATGCAAAAATTTCCTTTGGTGACATAGGACTGTGCCCCACACACACCCACATATACACACCCCATTCCCAGTACCTGTGGTTTTAGGAGGCTCCTGAGGTCCGCCTTGCCAGCCATACTGTGGGTATCCTTGATAGGGGTACCCCTGAGGAGGTGGGTAGGGTCCCCCCATAGGTCCTGGGTGGCAGGCCCCTGGTCCCATTGGTTGTGGTGGATAAGGTGGGTATGGGGCCGTCGGACCAGGGCCCGGATACGGTGGAGGGTTCCCTGGGTTCATCAGGGACCTGCAGAGTGTACCTAGGAGACAAATAACAAAAAATTATTTTCATCTAATCCATGGAAATCATTAGTAAAAAAATTTCAACTCAAGAGACCATTTATAAAACACCTTAAAGGTTATAAACCTCTCGTAAACCTTCAGTTCTGCCCATTGTTTCTTTCTCACCATTTCCACAACTGACAGACAAGTATCTTCTGTATCTATTTACCTGCCTTCTGCTTGCCTTCCTCACTAGACTGCAGGCCTTGAGAGCAGGGACCAATCACCTGTGGGTCATCGCCACGATACTGGAGCTTAGCATACTGCCCAGTACAAGAACAGCATCTCTTTGTAATTCTCTGAAATGTCCAGAAATGTGACTGCATAGCTCTAGGAAGAAGACACCAAGTGTAACAGCACTAATTAGGAGTCAGACCAGTGGGGGCTAACCCAGCATGAGAAATTCTCCAAAAAAACAGCGCTGGGCCACGCTGGGATCTTCTAACAAACAACACTACTGCCGTGACCAACGAAGACCCACGGCTCTAAGCAGCTGAGCTGTGTGCTTAGTTCTCACTGGACAGAGGGCACTCAGATCATCCAAGGTCCCAGGACTCTAGAGAGCTCACCAGGAACCCTCATATTTGTGTTTAATGATGCCTGTTCTTGGTGGTTTGCTTCTGTGAGGGAGGCCATTGCTTCCCAGCCCCCAAAGACTTGTTAACCATTCTTGACTGGCCTTGAAGGCACGGAGCCAGCACCTCCTCTCCATCATCTCTGCAACCCCCACAGTGCCTGACATGGCAATGACTTGACTAAGAGCATTACTGGGGAATGCAAAGTCCATACTTTGGATGAACGTGGCATCAGTACTCTTGCTACGTTGTACTGTTACCCATCTGGAGTGCTATTATTTAACTCTCTATCTATTCGAGGATTTTCTATCCCCAACCAAACCCTAAGTTAATAGAAGCAAAACTCTCATAGTCAAATTCACTATTAATTTTTCTTTATAACAGTAATCAATAAATTTGTAAGTGACTATGTCTGTATATGAAGACAAAAATAACCATAAAATAAGGTTCCCTAGAAAAACCAGATTAAAGTATAGTGGACTTTGCAGTTTGCCCACACAACAACCATATCCCCTTCAAAATAGCGGTCAGGTATCCATCCATTCTTCCTTCCGTAACAGCTCCGGGATGAGCCCAGGGTAACCTAAGCCAACCCAGGCCACTCTTTCCCCCTTTGCATCAAGACTGGTAGAAGGTATCCAGGACTAAATCAATCACAAAATGGCATTCCTTGGCCAATAGGACTGGTTCTGACGTAGTCCGGTAATTAAAAGCTAACACACTCCTGACCTTCCCTTCCCCTTAACTCGAGTACACACACAGTCCAGTGAGGACGCAGCCTGGAGCACTGCTGACAGCCCGTGTGCAGCCCTGAGGAAGCCAGCCCGAAGACGAAGAGGTGCTCCAGAAAAACAGAGCCGAAAAGGAAAGTATTCCAGGTGACTTTGTAATGGTTCATAAATCAGGCAGAAACCTAAGCCTAACCTCAACTACCTCTACAGAATTTCCAGTTCTGGGAACCAGTGGTAAGTAAGCTAATGGGCCCCTCTGAGTGACATTCCAGCAAGCACACAGTTACACAGTGCTGACCGTGCCTGGTGCTGTGCTAGGTAATGGGGGTACAGAGATAAATAGGGCTCAAGTGCATCCCTTGGGCACCTGGTTAAAAAAAGGCAAACATAAGGATAGTGAATTTTAGAAAAGGTGGTAAATAGACAGCTGGGGAGGAATAGGGGCTTAAACCCAGTAGGAGGTGAGAGGGTCACTTGAAGGAGGTGATTATAAATTGAAACTTTAAAATACTGATTCAGAATGGCTTGAAGGTCTCTATTTTGACCACATCTGCATTCTGTCCCTCATGTTAGAGACTTACTTTTCCAGGGGCCTAATAGGGACTCAGAAAAAATTGGAGTTCTTTCCCTTCTCTCCTCTCAGCCAACAGGGCATCACACTCTGACCTGAGAACAGCCTTTCCCCTCATACTAACACGAAGGCTCATGGTGACTAACACTGCAATAATCACATGGTTCTGGGGACATGTACATAACCTCAAACCACTTCTGCATTTCCTCTCTTCTACCAAGAAGGCTGTGGAAAACCTAGTGAACCTGGTCTAAAACAGAAATAAAGGGGTGTCTGGGTGGCTCAGTGGGTTAAAGCCTCTGCCTTCGGCCCAGGTCATGATCCCAGGGTCCTGGGATCAAGACCCTCGTTGGGCTCTCTGCTCAGCAGGGAGCCTGCTTCCCCCTCTCTCTCTGCCTCTCTGCCTACTTGTGATCTCAGTCTGTCAAATAAATAAATAAAATCTTTTAAAAAAATTAAAAGAAGAAAGAAATCAATCTCATTGACCCTCCCAGTCCCCCAATTGGCCATTTCATTATTCACTTTTTAGGTCACAAAAGTAGAACACAACCATCATAAGTACGCTTTCCAGTAATTTCGTATATGGGGGGTGGGCGGCTCCTCTGAACTGAACTAATCCCATCAAAACTGTATTTTGTCTTGATTACTCCAAAAAGACCCTGTAGTCATGATCATTCTCACTCTAGCAAAGTCTGGACCAAACTCTGTAGACATTGTCCTTAAGAACAGCGATCCATGAGAAGAAAAAAGAACAAAGTACACACAACTATTACAACAGACCGCAATATTTCATGACTTTTCTGGGTCCATTTACTTGCAGCTATTCCCCATTATCCTGTGCTGTTCTCTCTCTGAAACCCTCAAAACTCTTCCAAATGTATGTGTCCTCTCTCCTTCTCCCTCAATATGTTTCCCCCTCAATTTTGGTATGTACCTCTCTCCCTCTTCCTGGGGAATCACTTCATGTCTAGGGAGGAAAAAAAAAATCCCAGGTGCTACTCACAGAGGCACTTATAAAGAACATAAACCAGTCGGGGCTCCAGCTGCCACACCTCCTGCCCTACTCTGTCCCTATGTTCCCAAGACACCCCGTCATCTTAAAGGGATAAAAATTTGGACCTATCTTCGTTTCCCTCTAAATAGAAAAAAAAAAAATCTCAGTAGGAGAAGAGGGAAAGTCACAGAAACAGCATCTGTGCTGAGATCAAAGAACGCAGAGCTGACATTTGCAAAGCACAACTTCACCTAGTGGGAATCAATCGGGAATCCCAAGTGTGTAGAAAAGCCAACCCAAGTTAAAAAGATTACCTAACACTGACTCAGTCTAGTACAAACCATTTAATGTCATCAAAACACAAATGAGCGTTAAATTCAAGGTATGATACTTAACTCTGTACCATGAACATTTTCCCTTACAAATCTGCTCAGGTGAAATGCAAGCCCTGCTCTACCAGAGTGTGTTACACCGAGAGTCAAATGTAAACTGGAAATTGTACTATTAAAGACAAATCAGAGCTCCAAATGGGAGAGCTCAAATTAAGCAGCAGCCAAGATCCCATAATGGACTGCAACGAACAATGCTAATTGATGAAGCCCATCAGGACGGGCTCAAAGTCCCAGCACCAGCGGCCATTCATCATACAATGAGAAGAGCAGGAACTATGCTTTCAGAAAGTGCTCCTCTGACATAAGACCACTAGAAAGGACCTCAAAAAACGCAGAGACACAGGAAAGACCAATATTTTTCAAAGTTGTCGTTGTTTTTTAAATTACAAATGACAAGATACCTGGCAGCCTGGCATTTACCCTGAAGGGAGAACAGTGAAGAATTTTCCTCTGGAAAAACTAAAAAGTCCCCATGGAAGAAGTATTCCTGTTATCAGTATTTGAGGAGATGCCAAGAAATGACTCACCCAGTCGCCCCACAGCAAAGCCCGTGCACACAGACTTCTAACTGACTTTTTATTGCCTAATACATAAATGAATGGACAGAAATGATCAGACATTTGAGTAAAGTCTGCAACAAAAAACAGCAAAACAGAATAGGAAGAAAAAAAATTAAATATCCAAAAGAAAAATAAATTATGGTACAGCTATATAGTAGTTCTTTTGAATTTTTAACTGTTTTTGAAGCATGATGTGGTATTAAGTATAAAAAAAATTTTTAGGGGGCACCTGGGTGGCTTAGTTCGTTAACTGTCCAACTCCTGATCAGGCCTCAATCTCGCAGTCATGTGTTCAAGCCCCTCCACAGGCTCCATGCTGGGCATGGACCTTACTGAAAAAATTTTTTCTAAAGCTATATATTTAGCATGATCCCATTTTCTTCTTTTTTTCTCCAAAGATTTTATTTACTTACTTATTTGAGAGAGAAGCACAAGTGGTGGGGAGGGTGGAGGGACAGGGAGCAAGGGTCTCAATCTCAGAACCCTGAGATCATGACCTAAGCTGCTCAACCTACTGAGCCACCCAGGAGCCTCAATCCCATTTTCTTTAAATATTCATAATTAAATTAATGTACAGAATGAAAAGGCCTACAAAAGACTCATATAGTAGTCACCTAATTGTATAGGAAGGCACCACTACATTCATAAAGTAAAAATTAGGGGCGCCTGGGTGGCTCATTGGTCGGGCGTCTGCCTTCGGCTCAGGTCCCGCATCGGGCTCCCTGCTCAGTGGGAAGCCTGCTTCCCCCTCTCCCACTCCCCCTGCTTGTATTCCCTCTCTGGTTGTCTCTCTGTGTCAAATGAATGGATAAGTCTTGAAGGAAGGAAGGAAGGAAGGAAGGAAGGAAGGAAGGAAGGAAGGAAGGAGGGAAAAATTAGTCTTTCTAAAACACAGTGCTGGATATTCTTGCAAAGGGGGAAAAAATGAACCCTGATCACCAACCTTATAAACAAAAAATTATTCACACTACAGCATGGGCCTATATATAAACACTACAACAATCAAGCTTTCACAAGAATATAATATATTCATGACTTTGGC